TATATATATATATATATATATATATATATATATATATATATATATATATATATATATATATATATATATATATATCAAATAATTATAAAGTTTACTTGTTAATATTACAAGATGTAAAATATAATATCGCAACTATTCTGACATTTGAGTTACATAGGTAATATTATTTCATCATATTTGTGTGCATCTATTTGTATATTACACATTATATTGTTCTTTATAAAGATGTTAATAAAAAAAAAGAATAAATTTATAGTAATATATATTTATAGTAATATTCATGATGTGTGTCCCAAATTTGCCAATAATAGGTTAGTTCTTGTGACATTAGTTCAATTGACATTTAATTAATCTACAACTAAGTTACCTCTTCTTTTGTTATTCCCGACTTATTTAGTCTGTTCCATTCCGCATAATACAATAACGTACCGGTTTTCGAGAAGATATATAAATTGTGAATTGTCATAGTAGTTCTCTACTCTTCTCTTTCTACACAGTCCACAACTGTCTAAGAACGAGATTCATTTAAAGCTACAAACCAGAGAAAAGCATAAGAGCGGCCACCAGTCTGATTTCAATGGCCAGAGCTAGGCGCTAGAGACGCTCAAACAGAGACTGCGTTCCGTTATTTACTGCAAGTACTGTCAGTACTACCAACAGCATTCCTAAATAGGTTACAGTGCACTGCGAAAACACTTCGACGAGTTTGTGACGTCTGAATGTTGATGTCACTTCCGGGAGCGGTGCACTTGGACACGGTGCATTTGGACACAGCCAATCACAGCACCGTGTGATTAGAGACATTTGTAGGGTCTCTTGGAACAGCGACTTGTGATTGGACTGTGTCCAATTGCCCCGTGTCCAACTGATATACACCCGTCACTTCCTGCTGTAGCTACTGCAGCTGGAGAGGTAAAGCAGTGGCAGTAAGGCGATGCGTTCCCATTTGTCACCTTGCAGCATCTCGACAGTACTCAAAGTTAAAACGGAACGCTACTAGCAGTATACTTTCATGACGTCTCAGCGTCAGTACTCGCAGTAAGGGCCGGTTTCACCAACTCCGGTTAAGTTAACCGAGGGTTAAAAGTAGCAGAGTAGCCAACTTTTTTAAATGCGACGTGCTATAAACAGTATCATACTGAACCTCAACGAACAATTTATATTCAATCTCGATATTGGCACTTCTGGTAGTTAGAATTTAACCGTAGATTGGTTTAACCGGAGTTGGTGAAACCGGCCCTAAATAAAGGAACGCACCCAGAGACTGGCCATTGGCCCGAAAAATGGCGACGATGAATATGGGTGAGTAAGTACGTGATCTATTAAATGTGTGCGTGTGTATCGATCTGGGGCTCGATTCTTGACGGTGTGCGAATGAGATACGCATGCGAAAATGTATAGTTCACGTTACGTATACTGTAGATTTTCGCATGCGTATCTCATTCGCACACCGTCAAGAATTGGGCCCCTGCAACATCAATTGTATGACATATAAGTAACATGATATTTTATCATTTTAATCACGAAATTTAACAACACATAACGTAAAATGAACAATTAACAACTATTACACTTGCACACATTTATGTAAGACTTTAATAACAATAAATAAATAAGACTTTAAATAAGACTTATAACAACAATACAAGTAATCTTTATTTATTAAAATTATCTAGTACATATATATATATATTTTTTTTTAAACTAATTATTTATTATATTATCTGAATAATATAATATCTAAGGACTAGTTGTTTTTTTATTTCTTTCGACATTATATAACGTGTGATTATTATTGACTATATGTAATATTTTCAAGAATTTACATTATACATTTTAAAGGATATACATATATACATCTTTATTTATCATCATTATTTGAGCGATAAACTATACATTCGCAGAGTGCGACAATATCTCATTTCATATTTTATGCCCGTTCGCGCCTGATAAACACAGCTTCGTATTGATGCCGCCATTTTTCGGGCCATCATCCCATACGCCAATCACGTGGAAACCTCCCAATGGCCAGTCTCTGTTTAAGGGTCTCTAGCGCGTAGCACTGGCCACTAAAATCAGATTGGTGGCCGCTCTCAGGCTTCTCTCTGGTTCGACCTATTGGGCGCGTTCAGCGGAAAAAGCGCTCAGTGAGCAATCAGCGATTATTGGTTCTTACTGTTAAATCCCTAAATCTAGATCAATTACATTGACGAATTGCTCAACTGTTGTGCAACTGTTGAGTTCGCTGAACGCACCTATTGTTTAGTTGTTCCACGTCTTCGATTTCTCGTTAAGGGAAGTGGCGCCTCATAGCAGAGACTTTGGAACTAAATTGAACGTCACACAGAAATAACGGGTCTAAAAATCTTTCAGGGTCGGTTTTTTTCAATAATATTTTAAACTTAGATTTCAACTTAAACTCTGTTTAAACAAAACCAACGCATTGTTAGAATAGAATTTAAACTTAAATTCAATTTTAAACTGCTATTGGAAAACCGACCCTGAGATACTTTTTTGTCAACATTTTTCGTTCTTTCAAAATGAAGTTTTTCTTCGTCAGTTTGTTATCCCTTTTAACATCTTCTTAATTGTACAAATTGTTATATTTATTTTGTTTCCACGGGAATTAAAGGTTTATTCAGCAATAGCTGAGTTAGCATGATAATTAGATGCTTTCATGTGTCTTTCGTAATCAATTCCCGCTGATTTCACGCCTTCTGTCAAGTCATCAGTTGGTCAATGAACCGAAACAACAAGACAGACTATTCGAAAATGTAAGCTAAAAGTAAAGCGAATACCTCTGTGGATCACTTATTCCGGACCGTAAATGGCACATGTCTCTGTACAAATTCCGCATTTTCGGGAAATCAAATTTCACCTCCAAGAGAAATCAATATGTCCTTCTGCGATGAGGTTGATGTCAAAAGACGACGTCCTGGCACCGGTTGTTGTGGTTATTACATATGATTTAGACAATTAGAATATTTTAAGGAAAACATCGTAGCAGTTTTGTGATTTTTTACGTCAAAATATATCATTATTACATAAATCTATGAACGTATATACTAAATCTTATTACAAAAATCGACATTTGTCTCCGTTTATGAGAAAGAAAAATCCTTAGCAAAAGACCCACGTTATAATACCGTTTCATTTATTCGCTCATTTTGCTGAAAATTGCTCTGTAGACATTTACAAATTTCATTTTCTGAAAATGTAGCTACTGTCGCAATAAAGAACTAGTTTACTTACGCATAAATATATCGTGCATTATGTAGGCCACGCATATATGTAAGAAAATGAGAAAAGAAAAAGATATTCTGAAGATATTCCATAAAAACGAGGAAACGCATCACTTCTTGCAACAACGAACTTAACATCATTGAAAGAGTTTTGTTCAGATTTTTTATGTGTCTCCCTATCTTTTTTCCTTTCAAAGGCTTTCTGCGTATTGTACATTTCGAAGATGTGATTATGTTTGATTGCTGGTACTTCAATTTGCGATGCTGTTGCGCAGGTAGCGGATGCGGGTCAGACAGCAGAAGCGGTTGTTTTGAGGCGCGCATACTGTCCTGTAATTGCCAGAGTAACGCGGGATGCTTGGATCGCAACGATTGCGGCGGTTTGCGGCCAACTGGGACCGCTGCTACGGGTGCGTGTCCTGGGCCTTGTCAGTGCGTTGAGGAGGAAATGTGGAATAGCAACGCGCCTAAGCCGAATTGTCAGTGGTTGAGTAACTTTGCTGAGCTGCGCCGTCAGTGGAGCGATCATAGCCGCCAGCGGGCTTGCAGATGTTGCAGTTGCCGATCCGCGTGGTAAGAAATGCAACGATAATTAAATAATATCACGATAGCTTCGAGTGAAGGATGTAAGCCTTATAGGCATGCAGCCGAGTTGTCTATTTCGGTTGATTTTGTCGACTGCCATGTTTCCTGTTCTTGTTTCGTAACATTTCCTTCCTCTTACTTCCGAGTAACAATAATATCGGTTGTCTAGTGCTCGCCGATATTGATATTCTGTCTTAAAGCGCGCGGCAAAACGCGACCTCTCTCTTTCTCTCTTTGCCTCTCTCAACCATCTCTTCCGCATACGAGCGTACACGCGAGGACGTTCGTGTACATCCTCCTGAAAAACGTCCTTTCTGCGACGTTCTTTCCTCGCGCGATGTTCCCGGCCGAGATTTATCGATAGCTCCGAGAAAATTGGAGTTGACGCTTCGACGACGTTTCGCTTGTTTATGTAAAAGTCGTCCGCGCCCGTAGCGACGCGCTATTTCTTACGACGGATAAGACGCCCGCGACACGAACGTCGAGCGCGAGTACTGCTCGTCGAAACATCGAGAGAATTATTGAACTTTCTTATTTTGCGCTGCGACGTGTTTCGATCGCAGCAGAACTGTCACCCCGTGCCGGCTATGTCTTCCGACGCCCCGGTGTTCCGGTACCACTCTAACTTCGTCGGACTGTCAGGTACAGTATGGTAGATTCCTCTCCAAGACTAGAGAGCGCTTAAAATTCCCCGTGAGGTAGTAGATTTTACATGTATTTACTTTCAGAAGAGCGAGAAGAAATAGTCATAAAAAAGATTGCGTTGCGAAAAAGATGACAAATTTCATTAATTACGCTGTTTAACTCCGAAAATTTCATTCAATTCACTGAATTTTATGAGTAACTCAACAATTGTGCATGGTGTTTGCAATTGTATACAAATATCATTTCTTGGCTTTGTTATATTTTATGAGAAATTTCGTGAGAGTTTGCTCTATTGAATTTTCTTCACACGCAGCACGAGAGTAAAACAAGGATACAGATATATTAGATTTTAATTACGCGGAGTGTGTCGTAAAATTACAGGACAAACATTAAGGACAAACATTTCCGTATTAAAATTTTCAAGCTGAATCAAATTTCGGAATGAGCTATTGAAGTACAATGATTTTGAAGTATTCTCTGCATTAAGATATAGGGAGAAAGACACTTCCATTTGTATTTGAATGTACAAATAATACATGCAGGATATGAATAGAAGCAGAATATGAATGGAAATTTAGAAGCAGCGCGGCGCATGGACAATGCAAAAGAAGTGTAACTAAATACTCTTAACGTTCTCTTCGCGTGTTTTAATTAAATTCGGTAGTAGAGCTCTGAGCATTTAATTCAGGCTCGGTTAGTTTGCGCGCTCGATTTATGTAAATTAGCATGGCATAGTCGCGGGAGTGAGAGCGAGCCTTCCAAGTTTGTTAATTATTGGATAAAATCCGTGAAGTTGCCTGCGCGTAATTTCTGCGCAGACTTTAATGGCTCACTAATTGGAACGTTTTAAAATGCTTTAAATCCTTTATACGCCACTCGGAACATTGAGGCATCACTCGTGACTGCAGCGTCGAGACGCGCGACGTCCTCTTCGTCCTCTCACGAGCGATATTTTAAGTCAGACGATTGTCCCTACGGCTTCCACGATGTTCTGTAACTGTCGCCGGATCTTTCTTTACCTTTTTTGACAGAAATGCTGCGGGAGCTGTCGTCTGGCAGGCGGCGCGAGCAAATCGGAAATGACATCGATAGATAGATCGTCGTCGGCCGAGCGAATCTCGAAACGCGAGGCGGGTGGCGGATGCCCGCCACCTAACTACACGTCCAACCGCTGCGGCAGCTCGCCTAACACAGATTGCTCGTCGTCGATCGCCTCGTCCTGCTGTTCTTCGCGATGCGAGGGCCATTCTGCCCAGCCGTCGCCGTGCTGCGAACCCTGCGTCTCGCCGTTGCGACCCATCCTTAAAAAAAAGCGCGGTTGTTGCTGTGATCGCTGCAGCGGCCCGACTCCCTCTTGCATGTGCCAGCCGATGTCACGTGGTTGCAATTGTCCACTTCCGGTGCAAATAGACGCGCGCGCTACCCGCGAATGTACCTGCGACTGCCCGTCCAGCCCGGAATGCGCGTGTCCACCCAGCGAGCGAAGGTTCTCGAGGACCTCGAGGACCTGTCCCAATGCGCGCCTCTGCAGACCTTTCCTTCGCTTACCACCTAGCTCCAAGTGTCACAACAACTGCACACGTCACCAACCGTGTTTACCGCCACCTTGCGACCCGTGTACGTCCAGCGAATGTCAAACACCAGCTTCAGCTGCAACGAGGAGCTCATGCTCACCGTGTCCCTCGTGCTCGCCCTGTCGACCCGCTTCGTCCGCCTCCACCAGGTCGTCTTGCCGGCCGCCGACACCTTGCAGGAGGCTGAGCATCTGCGACGAACGTCCAGGATCTTCGCCATGCTCGGGAACAGGTCAGTCTTGTTACGGGATCGACGACGCTATTTGTAGCGTAGAGGACTGCGTCGAGAAGCAGCAGGAGACGAGCGATACGGGAAACCGCGACAGCTCGAGCGACTATTGTTGCGCGACAGACCGCGTCGAAGCCGGGGATCAATCGGGACGCGCTGGCGACAATCACGATTCGATACCGGACGAGGAATCTGTTAGGGTTTCCACATCAGAGGCATCAATTAACCCACCCTCGAGCGCCGTGAACCCTTCCCAGTCTGTCGATCCGGACTCGACCGACACGCCTGTGAGAAACGTCGAATACGCTGCCGAAGGCGCGGCGACGGCGGAGAGCCTCGAGGAATTCGACGGCGAAAAGTCCACGAAGGATTCGCAGCGTATTTCACCTCCACCGTCGCCGCCGTCGTCGCCGTCCCATGTTCCGCCCGACAATCACGCGAAACCCGATCGTTACGCACCCCGCGGCGTGCGTCCGTCCGTCGGCAAAAACATTCTGCAGAATCTCGTGCGCGCAAAATTGTCGAGTCGCGCGGGACCACCTGCTCGGTTGAAGAAGCGAGACTTACCAGTGACGAATAAATTATCGCCTCAAGGAGTCGCCGTTCTCGGCGACGACAGCCCGCAGGCCGACCAATCGGCAGATGTTCCGACGAACATCTCGACTACACCGGTGCGCGGGACAGACAGACGACGCGGCGGCTCGCCGGCGGGAAATGCGACAGATACTAGAGGCTCACCCCGTGAAATTCGTGTAATTCGATGGAACGTTTCGAAACTGCAGTCTCCTGTAACGCGCGATCGCTCAGCATCCGCCTCGCTGCGATCAAGCCGGGCTGCCGTCGTTTTTTCGCAGCGTAAATCGAGGCAGCCACTCTTGATCACTTCCCCGAGCGATCGACGAGGCAGATAGTGCTCGTGAATAAAATTCTGAGCACCCAATATAAGCTCTACGATTAAAAGCTTTCGTTGGAGCTCGCGCGACAATTTCGAGTACAGAATTGCATAGACTGAAGGATGTATGGACTCGCTCGTGCACTTTGAAATTCTCTCTCTGCAGATTCCTCGTCAAGATAGGCATGCGACTGAGTTATCCATTTCGGCTGATTTTGTCGAATGCCAGAGATAGCCTGCGCGATCAGCCTGAATGCTACGAAACAAGAGAATTGGGGATGGCAGTCGACAAAATCACAGCCGAAATGGACAACTTGGCCGCATGTCTGGTCTAAGGTAACGGTTTGATGAACGCTTATAGAGTACAAACCTCAAGGCAATATTTTATACACGAATTGAATTATACGCGACGTGAGGTGTCGGAAAAGATGACGTCAGGTATCGCTATTCGCATGAATTTGTAAAGTTTCGTTTCAATTATACAGACAGTCTCAAAAGTCTTCTCTGCGGATTGAAGATCTACACGTAAATATAGTTCCACGTTTGTTCAACGATCCTAATGAATGACATACTCGAGAGCGATTCTCTTCATGTGACCGATTCTTTCTATCGATTTTACGCGCGCACTTACACACCGATATTTATTTGCGCTCTTATGTTGTGACCAAAGGACCAATGTGACACGTGGTGTGGTGCGTCCAGTAGGTGACGGCTGTACGTCGGCGGGAACATCGAGCGCGTTCGCGCAGACACACGAAGGGAAGAACCGAAGCGTGTGCCGCAACGTATTTTCTAATGTCGGCGGTATCGGCTACTCGGCTCTAGTGCCGAGCCCGTTGGCGCTGATATCCTTCGTGCTCCTGGTTCTCATTGCGATCGCCTGGTCCTCCGGCTTAGTCTTTTACCGTCGTCACTTAGTGCGCAAGAGAGCCTGCTGGAGATACCTGGGCTTGTGACGTTGCGCGAGACAAACGACACGAAATAGAATGACGAATTTGAACGTGACTTTTTGCCGAAATGCGCACAAACGTGCAAATAAGCGCGCGTTGGCGCGCGCGCAAAACTCGGGGAAATTTACAGGCATCCGTTAAGCACCGCGCCAAATTGCGTATCGTTCGGAGCACAAAATTCATGGTAGCAATGTACGAGGATGAATAGTTTACCAATGGACATGTGTAACGACAAATCATGTATTTAGGCAGTAAACATTATTTCATTGCCATATGCAGCATTGAAAGTCGTTTGATTTATAATCACTAAGTATAAACGTTTGGAAAATGCGGAATGATTTTCTCTTCCTTGAAACGGATACTCTGATCAAGTGAGGAGATTATTTTTATCAAATAATCATTCCTCGTGCCGTCCGGCGTTTCTAGGAGAGCCTCGTATATTCAGTACGATTACGAGAACCTGGACGTATTAAATATCGCGGTTGTGTAGCAGTGATTATCTCGCGGGGGTATTTTTAATATACACGCTGCACACGTCTCGGCACTCCCCCTTCAGCATCGAACGAGTGACATGGCGAATGACGCTCGTGCCTTCTGTCAGTCGGCGAAATGACGCGCCGGAGAGCGTTTCCGTTCGCGTTTTTGTCGGCGTTGGCGTTCTGCAGCACATTCCAGCGAGGTGCACTCGCCGTCGCCGAAAGCATCAAAAATAAGAGTGTCACCGAGAAGCAGCCCGAGGGCTGCATCGATTGTGGATACTACAGGTACGCGCGGTATTCGCAGGTGATACGGAATATCAGTCGACGATTGCAGCGACTGTAATTTACAGGAAGAAATCTAACATTCTAGTGATAATTGTTTTTCCATTTTTTTTCTCGATTCATAAATTTTTCATTTCTTTTCTTGACTCAAATAGAATTGCGTTATTTCAAAAAAAGCTTGTCAAAATCTGCTAATCGTCGCAACTAGTCGCGAAACGTCTTTTGTTTATCGTGTTGCAAATAGATGTCCAGAGAACCTTGGAAAATGCTTACTGGGCTCGGTACCTGATCCTTGTGAATGCTGCCCGGGTGGTTTGTGTGCTCGTCTTGATGGCGAAACGTGCTGGAATGAGAGCATCCCTCTTCTATCTCCGAAGAGCCGCAACGACGGATACTGCGCGAGAAACTATCTGTGCGAGTTACGTACCGATCTACAGGAGGAGAAGGTACCTAGAAACTGCAACCATTTGTGTTGCCGTCGTGAGACCGAATAAAAAATCTTTGATTTTCAGCGCTCGAAATCTAACATTCTAAAAAAATTATTCCAATTGCGACGTTAAAACGAACAAACGCACATCACATTACGTTACGTTCGAAAATTACTCCAGCTCTTTCTAGTTTCACTACAACTGTTTTACGTTGAAACTTTTTATCATTATTCATTTTTATCGTGATTCGTCCAAGTGCGATCTATATAATTTCCAATAATAATTTCCAGTATAATTTCCAAGTGGAAGCCAATTCTTCTCGCTGAAAGAACCGCGAACGTACGTAAGCGCGTCATTGAGCGCGACATTTATCACCTCCGCGAGTGATAAATTCGCTTCCCTAATTCGGTTTAAGAGAGAGATCACGTTCTAGATCGCGCGGTCTCGCAACAAGCTCTGTAATGCGATTTTCCGCTTTAGCTTAACGTAAAAATCGGAATCACGCATCATTGCGCAAACGACCTAGCACGGAGCCGCGTATATCAACGTACATCGTCCACCCACCGTGGACGGCCGCTCTGTCAGAGACTTGGATCTATCGCAATTTCAAGATCTCTCCAACCAGTGCGACCTACGGTCGCTGACCCGCGCCGCTGGTCTTTTCGCATCTAATTTCGTCTTATCGTGCACCGTGGGCCGTGATCGCATTGTGAGAATATGTGCACGCACACGTCACGCAATCAAACAATCAGGCGGACCGTTTATGATAGAGACGCGGGACAAAGCTGGATAAGAATACTCTTCTCTGTATAATCTTAAGGTAGGGTCGTGGTTACATGTCAGAGCGGCTCTCGAAGTCAACCCCGAGTCTGTCTGTCTACTCTCTTAAAGTGAATCAGTGGAACATCACTGAAAGCAGTAAATATACAATGATTTACAGCTATAAGTATAGCACTGAAACTGCTCAGTACTTATACTTATAACTGATATCAGTGACTATTCACTGATTCATTTTAAGAGAGTAAATAATAATCTTATAAAATACAGTTCTCTTCGATATATGTACGAGAAAGAAAGATCGGCATGCAAAATCAAAACGTCAATCTAATCGAAATAACGTTCTCTAGGAATCAAGTTTCATACGTTTAACTTCATTCATGAATACTGATTACACAGGCCCACAATTTAAAAAAAGTTGTCTGTGCTGAGGATCTGACTAGGTGTACTATACGTATTTTGGGCTGCTGAATCCAAATCCGGTGTCAGATTTGCTCCATCACCCTTGAGTTTCCCGGAAAATCGAGGAAATCGTGAAAAGGAGCAGATATCCATGTTTTTACGGAGACATGTATTCAAGGAAAATTCTAGAGTGACGAATAAACCTATAACCCCACAACCAACGTTGGAAATACATTATGTACTTCACATCTGATTACTAGAACAACCCAATAACCCATATACCATCATACATATTCGGTTTTAGTTCACCCATCAATCCTTTAACATCGCATAGATTAGAAAATCTAATCTGTGCGTGCCCTATCATGGTCACATTCATTTTATCGTCCACGAGATGGAATCTTTTTTCTATTCGAAATATCAATTCTACAATATATGATCGTCGATCAGATAAATCCTGCTACTTCAGAGGATGTTGGAGACGATGACAACTGCCCCGTAGGGGATATATAGAGTGATTCGTTTTCCATGTTGAAGTACATAATGTATTTTCAACGTTGGTTGTGAGGTTATGGGGTTATTCATCACTCTAGAATTTTTCCTGAATACATGTCTCCGTAAAAACCTGGATATTTGCTCCTTTTCACGATTTCCTCGATTTTCCGGAAAATTCAAGGGTGATGGAGCAAATCTGACACCGGATTTGGATTCAGCAGCCCAAAATACGTATAGTACACCTAGTCGGACCACCAGCACAGACAACTTTTTTTAAATTGTGGGCCTGTGTTATACGCAGTAGTAAAAAAAAAGAAGGAATGAAACAGAAAATAAGAATAAAAAAACTTTCAACATCCGCATTTGTGACCGCGAGTCGATAAATCCTTTTTTTTTATAAAGGTGCATTGTCGGCTTCGTATTTTTATAAAATTTAGACGCGGATACGCTGCGCGAGTTTAGACGATAAAATGCCCAGTCGTGCAATTCGCGTGAGGGATAAATCGATCGAGTATACTAAGAGGATCAACTATTGCTACTCGAACTATTTGAACGGTCACGAATTACTCCTAGTTGGACAAACTAACAACAGCAACAACAACAACAACAGCGCGAACTACCCACGACGTCTATCCGGGTGAAGCGTTTCGCTCGCGTGTGATAGTTCCATAGAAATGCTCGGAACATAGCAAAGACGTGCCGGTGCGGCAAGCGGCATATTACCAACTTTAAACCATTTAACTTCCACGAAGTAGAACGGGAGAATTATTCTCTCAGTATGACTTGGAATATGAAATAACAGTCATTTGTCCATAAAGATGAGGAAGTGATGGTGTGTTATCGAAACAGTGAGAAAAACAAGGCAGAAGAACATCTTACGAGGCCTGCGACGGCAAGTCCCGTGCAATTAATGAAAAGGATCGTACTTTTGTGCGCAGGATCCTCCGGAGGCTGTCTGCGTCTGCATGGAGCAGACCCCTGCATGTGGCAGCAATAACGAGACTTACGCGACGCCGTGCGCGCTGCACGAGGAGGCGATGAAACTCCGAAACTTGTCCTCCTTGTGGCTGCAGCATCTCGGTCCTTGTCAAAGTAGACCTTGGATCTTGTCAACTCTGGAGGACGTCGCCTCACCTTTTGGTCAACGAGTCGCGCTCAATTGCGAGGCGAAGGGCTTCCCCGTGCCGGATATCTTCTGGGAATTTCACTCGGCCGACGGCAGGAGAGTGCTGAAATTGCCAGGTACAGCGACCAAAATGTCCCGTGACATTTTTACGTGACGCGAATCGATAGCCACTACTGAACGCAATCGTCCGGGATGCACTCGTCGCTCGGACGAGAGGTGTCTGGAGCAAATGTGACTTTGCTCGTCGACACGTCAAAGTTCTTGCGTGACGCACGAAGATACTACGTTATGGACCTCGGTAAATAAGTATTTCGTTCGTAGGAGAGGAGCACGACGCGACGGTGCATACGAGGGAGGGTCCAGAGCCCCTTATGCGATCATCCTGGATGCAATTGGCTCGATTGAATAAAGAACATACTGGAATGTATCATTGCATCGCCAACAACTCCATCGGCGAGGCGAGCGCGACTTCGTTTGTGTCCATGTCGTGAGAGATTGAGCTCGCGTCCTGCGAGGTATCTCTCACGTAATCGCCGCGCCTCACGACGCACGTTAAACGCGCGGAGAGAATGAGAGAGAGAAAGAAAGAGAGAAAAAAAGAGAGGAAGACAGACGGAGGAGAGAAGAAGGCGTGTAACCGTACGTTCAGAAAAAAAATTATCTTTTCCAGCAAATGGATGTATGAGGAATCTTCCTGGCATAGATGGTACATCTCCGATCGTGTGTCGAGACTGCATGAATGGCAATCGTTGCTTTGTAAAGTAGAGATCCGCTTACGATAAGTTTGACACGAGAACGACTTATTTGGTACGATCTATACCTGAAGCTTCTTCCATGTTTCCCGCTATAATAAATTCTGATGCCGTATCATGAGTCTGCCTTCGTTCTCGTCTTCCATCCTTGATTATTACCAGTCTCTTTGCGGCGGTGGCGGTGGCCTATGTAAAATAGTCTTAGTTATACAAATGCGCTTTCACCAAGCAAACGCAATTTTTATATCTTTTTCAACCTTATATTACTGCAGTTATTCGAATACAACGGAATAAGAAATAATACTAGCAATACAAGTAAGCCATTGTAATACAAATAATACTAGAGTGAAAGTAATACTATTTCTGCCATTATTTCTCTGGAGAGAATTTTATAGTAAAAATCAGTAGAAAATTTTGTAACCAAAAAATAGATCGACATTTTGCAGTAATTTATATATGCCATTTCATATATGCCATTTGTGTATCACGAAGTGAAATGTGCTATTAACAGATTTTTAGCGAAATTTATGATGTCTTATGCTCGATTTCATTAACATCGGTTGTCTTAATCCGAGTTTGAATTATCTTCAAAGATATGTGTCTCAAAGATATCTAAGTTTGAATTATCTTCAGACAAAGATTTAAACTCACGTTAAGATTTAATCGACGTTTAAAGACGTTAATAGAACCGAGCCTTAACAAGATAGATCTTGCTGACAATCTATTTCTGCATTACTGGAAATTACTCTTAAAATTGACAAGAATTTATGTGAAAATTAAAAAAAACTATAGTATTCTCTTTAAAGTTGTATAGCGTCTCTAAATTGTACTCACTCCGGTGTTTGCCACGCTCTGTCATACGTATCTGTGTTGAGGCTTTCACTAAGCATAACAATCGATATTTTATTATCTTCCTGCTTATGCCGAACGCCGAAATTAGACTAGATAATCCAAACTGAAATATACTGACGTTCTCGTCGGCAGTAGGATAACATCTCTCGCAAAATGAGACGACCTCTTGTACACCAGCGACAGGATATGAGCGATCGGTGTGCTGGCAACCATGACGACCACGCATACGAACACAGCGAGCCAGAAACCATTCTGAATATTAAGGGGGGTTTTGTTCAGCACACGGGATTAATGTTTTATTAGTTATTCATCGTGTCGTCAAACATCGGACGTTCGTTTTTAATTGTACGTACAAGAGGACTCAGGATGTGTGCGCACAGCAGGTGCCGGAATCCCTGCAGTACGTCCCACAAGGGGCGACACTTGGACACCCCGGTGCTCGTTTCAGCGAGTACATGAGCCCGCCACTGATCCAGGTAATTCGCCAGTCGGTCCACGTACGACTTCGTCTTCTGCAAAACAATGGACGATGAATTTCAATAATCCGCGGTGACACTTTTTATCGTGCACGAGCGTATCTAAACGACGATCTCCCGTCTTTCGCTTCGTCATCGCGCGCGTTTTCGAGTCCCGACGCTTACCAGCTGAGCAATCTTCTCGCCTCGATGGTCGATATAGTACTGTATGGTCCTCAGGTGAGAGATCGACTGATTGACTTGACGCCAGAGGGGTTGTACTTGTAATTCCAGAAGGGCCAGTTGATACACCAGGTCGTCCTGCAACTTCATTAGCGGCTTCACTCGCCGCAACGTGAGATCCCGCATTGTTATCCCGACGCTTTGCAACTCCCTCGCGATGCTTCGGTCTTGCAATTGGCGGGATATGTTGTCCAGTTGGTACGACATGGTGTTGAGATCCTTGCTGAGAATCGGCCCTTGAATCTGCGAGATAATATAAAAAAAAAAACACGCCGGTAGAGATCACAATTCATATCTCCTAGAACTCATTTTCACATAAAATTTCGCGAATGAACGTGTAAGAAATGAAAATATAATTGTTAATTGTTCGGACGACGCGTCTGCACGTAATACGTTGTAAAAATTAAATGAAGATCGCGTGGAGAGCACATACACGCGTAGTTTTGCAATAATAAATCGTCGTAGCGCTCAGTTGAATTGACTTTAATTAGCGGCGGCGTTAAGTCGTAATCGCGGGAATTACTCGCCACGAAATTCGTGTCGTTTATCATACTAGTCGTGGTCTAGTAATACGTAGCGATGCAGCCGCGCAATTTGTTATCTTGACGTCGGTTAATAGCAACTTTTCCGCTAGCAAAATTCTCACACTCTTCTAATCTCGGGCTTTAATCAAATTCCCTCGGAGAGTCTACCGGAATCTTCGCGTTTGTTTTTCTTTGCCTTCTTACTTGGGGAAGTATGAGAATGAGAAATTGGGCCGACGCATAAGTGAGGTACGACGCTAATAAACAAGCTCGGTGGTTACCGTGATCCTGTACGCGGTGATGTTTAAGCCGCAAGCATGCAGGAGATCCTGAAGACGTTGTCGCAGATTCGGTGTCAGTATTTCGAGACCCTTTAGGTCGACTTTAATACCCGAGATTGCCCTCGACAAGCCCGGCCACGTCCAATGCGCAGTAAAATGTTCCAGTTTCATCGTGTTTTCGAGCCCGAAGGCGGGGTAAGCTGCCTCATTGTTTCGACATTTTCTGCGAAATAAATATTGCCGGTGACAGCTGCAGCGCGTATTACCTAAAACCAGTCGGCGTGTTTGCAATAAAAAAAAAATAAAAAAATATTCATACAAATAATTCACGTGCAAATTGTAGCAACTGCCTTTTTTTATTGAGTGCAATGCGTCCTATAAATTCTTAAAACGGACACATTTTGCCTTTGTTGATAATAAACTAAGGCGTTTAAATAGCTGAAAATTTTGTCGTTTCGTTCTGTTCGCTTGGAATTACAGTCAACGCGTGTGTAAAGGAATTGTTTTAAATATACTGATCGTGTAACAATATTCACATAGTGAGTGCCTACGGTATCTGTCGTTGTCAGTTCGACTTACGTTTCCTCAGGTAATATGATAGCGGTGCAAAGCTTAATTAGCTTGATTAGGATTACGTAGCTTACTCAAAGAGCTCCTTGAGGGGGACTGTGAGCCTTCTTCCCAAGAACGCTCGGGTTTCCAGTACAGCTCCTATGGCACGATAGTCGGGATCGTAGAGCGGCCGGCATATCAACATTTCTGTATGGCTGGAGATGCCTAAAGCGACGACGAACACTGCCCATAGTGCAATCGAGACGAAACAGCTCGTGACCACACCGCTGAAATTCGATCGACACACTCAGTTCAGCGATCTGTCTTATTAGAGCCGCAGCTGCCCGGAGTTACTTCCGATCGGGTTCTCTCTGTCAGTGCTTGTCGAATAATAATTCATCGTAGCGGAAAAAAAATTCGATTTGTATTACTGAATTTTTTTGTTATCAGACAGAGCAGGCGACAATTTAGATGCAGGAATAAAAAAGTTCCTGTTTGTTTACGATTCGTAGAACACCACGAGTTCGCAGAGTATAATTGTGGTAACGAGAATTTCGAACGGCTAAGCTAGGAAAGCGATCGTTAACAATGTTTGTTTGTTTGACGTGTCTCGGAGATCTATAACTGATTTCAGAGACAAATACGTGGCGATCTATTGTTTGTTTTCGATATAGATAAAAGTCGGTTGAATCGACAGACAGACAGACGTTGTCGAGCTAGGCTTGAAAAAAGGTCACGAAGACGCCTGATATAAGGTCACATTCTGTATTCGCTGCATTTACCTTATTTAATTTGTACGGGATTGTTTTGTAATTATTTCAAATATATTATCTTTTCAACCATAAAATCCCTACATAATTGTTGTCATAATACACGTTAACCCATGATTTTGGCAATCGTATGTATTCCAATAAGTTTCATTAGAAATTTTATGTAAAATTATATACACACACACATACTTAAAATAAAGTTATAATATCGCATTTGTAAGTGAATATCGATGAATATTTATAAGAAACGCGCAGTAGCCGCCCGAGACGTCCTTAGCTTTTAACTCAAAGCGCTCTCGTTACGACGAGACGCACTTCGAATTTACAGGCGATGTCTGAAAATAATAAAAAAGATTGCAGAGCGCAAAATGCGGAGTGATAATCCATGCCGCTTGTTCGCAAAAGGAACCGGCGGAGTGAAGCAATTTTCACTTTTCAAAGCCTCCCGAGCGATATTGCATGCCGGGGTAAAGTCAGCGCACGGATTTCATTACTTTGCTCTCTGCCAAACAAATAAAGTGATACGTGCACGGCACGAAAGAAATTTACTCTATCATACCGAGCTATAATACACTTATATTAATATACATCCCCCCTCTCGCAAAGAAAGTAATTCATTGATGTATATTTTATAGTGTTTGCTGCATGTATACGGAAACAAAATCTCAGTTCGCGCGGCCGAACGGAGACTGGACGAAAACTTCACTGACAAGAAGCAATACCTCCGTTACTGTGACCGAAAACATTCGAACGAATTCAGCTGCGTTAAAACTCGGTGGAGATAACTGAGAGCAATTGGCTGAGTGGAAACCGCTCTTATGGGAATCTTTCTGTTCCCACAACCAAGTTTTCCATCTGCTCCCCAAGAGTAACAGAAAATACACTAACGGAATTGTTTTTTCCAGTGTATTTCAATTTTGCCTCTCTACGTCGATGTTCTCTCCTCAAATACAAGAGAATTTTATGCAAGAATTGTGGTAGCTCGCAACACAATATCCAATACCAATATCCAATACCATTTTGTATCAGCGTGATATTGTAATTTCCACGCGACGTCAATGTCATTCAATAATTTCAAAGCCTAACGGGCGATGTTGCTTTTAAGGTGACACGCATCAAACTAATATGATAATCGTTGAATTATACAACTATATTTACCGACAAGTCTATTGTCGGTGACGCGAAATCCCCTGAAGTACAATATTTCGCGAGAATGAGAGGAGAGGATCGTCTCGGCTGCATTACAAAGGGAAAGTATTGTATAACTTGGTTTTTATTATATGAGTTAACGCTTACCATAGAAGAGCCGGACGCACTTTGTCATCGGACGAGCTGCAGCGGCAACATAGAGCCCCGATCAGCAAGGAAAACACTGGCAAAACGCACAGAACAGTAGCTGCACATGTCACAAGTAAAGGGAACGTGTATTATTTTCCAGCGGTCAGACAGGAAAAAAATTTCAGTTTGTGGGACCAGATGAAGAACTCACTGTGACGAGAAATAATATCTCCGTTTGCAGAAACATTCTGAACATTTAGCCGCGTTAAAACTCGGTTGACATTACTGAGAGAAATTGCCTGAGCAGAAATCTCCTGCAGGAATCTCTCTCTGTTCCTACAACCGAGTTTTTCGTCTGGTCCCCAAATAACAGAAAATTCGGCTGTAGTAACGAAGTTGTTTTTTTCGTGCACTTGCTCGAAATCATAAAAGATACACGAGCAAGCATCGTGTGCACATACTGACGTTTCTCTGCTGTACGAAATGCATTCACAGCGATTTTCTTTGCGAGGGTAGAAGCTAACTGCAAATTTGGAACACGTACAGTGGATTGCAAAACGATTTAGACACAATGAAGTTGGGAGCTCACCAAACTGTCAAGATTGATAATCATTGCTGTGTGTGTCAGACTCTCTTGCTTAGTAATTATATTATTAATTATCATTATTATCAAAAGTTATTACTTATTATTACTTAAGAATTCGTGGCTATGTTATTAATTATATTAATATTGTGTAAGTTAATCTTAATTTTGACAATTTGTGGAGTTCTACAACTTCACAGTTCTACAACTTCATTATGTGTCTAAATCGTATTTTGTACAATTAATTTATCATTATCTCAAAATAGCCGTATCTAAAATTATACACTGAAAAATTCATTTAATTGGGTTAACCAAAATTTTGTTAAAATAGGGTCGAACAAATGTTTCGGTTGTGACGGCCAAAATTTCGTTCTTTCTACCAAAGATTTGATTTTCTGAAACTAAGCCTGTTTCATTTTTGTTTCAAAAAATCAAACCTTTGATTCAAAGTACCAAATATTGGTTCTCATCAACTAAAACATTTGTCCCACCTTATTTTAATTTTGGTTAACTCAACTAAATGAGTTTTTTAGTGTACTCGATACTAAGCGCCTCGCACGAATCGATTTTCGCGCGACTGTCCTTTTGCATTCCTTTTTTTACTTTCATATATCGATGCGAATGCACCAAATGACGAGGGAGAACATATTCAATGTAATCTTGAAAAATTCTGCATACCTGTACCGACGATCCATCTGACATGCTCGAAAGCGATGACACGAGGTATAACGTAATCCGTAGCGCTTTTCGCTAAATCCAGCTGCTTTGAGAGTTCGAAACTGCTCGTCTCTATGTTGCGCGTTTGATCGACAATTCTGGCACGTGCTGCATTGATCTCGCGGCGAATCTCTACGGAAATATGGAATTTATCTGCATTTCTGTCATCTCGCAATTTCGCCCGTTCGACGCACGGAAAGGGAAGGATACTCACACGAATGAATAGCACATTTTAAAGCTCGACCCGTTCCGCGTCCGTATAAATCTCCACGTTAAAATAAAACGCCCGGCCAATTTTTTCGCTGATTCTACCTCCCGAAGCGAAGTCGGATGCACCGCGCGAAAGTTATGATTAATAACAGTCTCGGGGCGCACAACGACGAGATTCTTAGAACGAGTGAGACACCGTGTAATAATATGCGTTCTCTCGTGAGATTATATTTCATCGTTTTGACGAGAGCAAAGTTTCTCCCGCATGGTAATGCGGCGCCAGTCGGAAATATTACTGAGACAATCGCAGAGTATGTACAGCAAAGGATGATTACATAAATTTTACGGGGATTCCTTTCCTTTCGCGAGAGAATCGTGCGAATACTGTTTATTAATTACTGAGTCATTCGACCATTTATCATGCGCCAACCGAAACATGTACATACACACAGAACTATTTTAATTACGAATTTTCTTCGTGCAGTCTAGTTTTCTCTTGAACCGCGCGGAGTTCTCTGTTAAAACTGCTTCGTAATAATCTCCGATCGACAGATGTCGAGCTTGTTCGACTTTTATTCACCCTTGGCAATGGGGTGAACCCTCACAAATTTTTTACGACCTCTCTCTCCCTCGTTCTCTCTCTCTCTCTCTCTCTCTCTTTGCTTTCACTCCTTGTATTTTTTTTTTCACGCAGAGTAATATTGAAGCGATATGGATTTCGCATTAGACGGCGATCGTCACCTCTCTATCGGATCTGTCTACTATGGATGGCGGCGGACGACAAGCGTTATTGGTCGATCGGCGAGTTGAGAGAAGTTGACAGGAATACAAGTCTGCGTCGCGCTTCGGTTCATCGACATTCCAACGCTGTAACATCCATCATTCCCTTCGTTCCTTCCTGGGATATATTCTCAATTTGCTTTATTATTAATTTTCTCGCGGCGCATTTTCACGCTTTATTATTCAGGAGGAGGAGCGATGTTCATCATTCGGCTGTGCGAACGTTTCGCTCGTGCTCGTTTATTAATCGCATTTCACGCGTCTATTCGACGTATGTATAAATTAATGAGGCATACTTCAAAGGCACAGACCCGTTCAATCTGCGACTGTAATGGCAGAACGCTTGTAATCTGCGATCTACAGCAACAGAGCCGTTGAAAGCAGACTGCTGTGTATCGATGTAAGCCGATTACAAAATGAAACAAAAATTGTACTATGTAAGATACAGAGGCGAACGGGAAACAATCGTATCGGCAAACGGAAATTGCGTTACAGATGTGCCGATTTAACATTTGAATTTATTACACCTCGTAGACAGAGACGATCCCTTTCACATCTCAAGGAGACACTTACACGATCAGTGGATTTTCAATCGCCGATAAACACGATAAAGACAGTCAACACCATCGCGCGCTGATAACAAGGCATGCGCGATTCATGTTCTGGAATTCATCTTTAAGTAAAAGCTTATCTCACTAGTGTTACAGAGTACACACATCAGTATCTAGCGAAACTGCGAGTAGAACAGGTCGGCGATATGGCTCGACACGACGGGCCGTCGACGCGTGACTCTCTCGGCATCAATCACCGATCCCATCGCGAAAGTTTATACGTGTGTGCGCCCCGAGGGAGAGATATATATGACGTGATCGCGGGATCTCGACGAAGATGTTTGCTCGAAGCATTTACCGTGTTTCGTTTGTCTATTAAGGATAAAGTCCCCTGACTCTGTCTCTCCCTTTTTCGCCGTCGATTTCGCGCTCATCGCAGTCCTTGGCAGAAACGCTGACGCGCATTCCCTCGACCCCGTGGCGAAATATCGTTTATACAGTACGGCGTGTTGGGAGGGAGGAAGAGAGAGAGAGAGAGAGAAAGAGTCGTGCAAAAACGCTATTGAGAAGCGCGACATTTCTGCGTTAAACGACCCGGCACGGGTCTAAAATAAAAAAAAAGGAAAGGAAAAAGAGAAAAAAAACAGCGAAATGTTTTAACAAGCTGCTGATTTAGTCTCGTGCAAGGTTACGTAAATTTTGAAATCTTTTTCCTTCTTTTTTTTCACTTATTTAACTGACATCCTAGCAACCGTGTATATTTCCAGCCGCACGTGGCCACGCATAAAAGTATTCCATACTAGTATAGAATCTTTAAATATTAATGATATCGTTGTGCATTCAAACGCATTTTAAACATCAATTTAAAAATAAAACATCCCGATCTATCGTTTTTAAACAAATATTTGGATTGCAGACTGTTGTTTAAAATAATATCACATTTGAAAATAATCCATTGCGCGGATTTCTACCCGGAATACTTCCTTTTTCCCTGTCGGGAATTTATGCGCGTCCTATACAGCAAACGCCGGAATTAATAAACGCGTCACATATTTCTTGGAAGTTGTTAACGTTTTAGAAGACTTTACGCTTTGAATTCGCAATGAAATATTCTTCAGAAGGAAAGCGCAGCCAAGTCTCTTACTACAGTTCAAAGGTGACGCAGAGATAACGGAAAATATTCGGGAAATTTTGCTCCAGCAATACAAGCGAGATTATACGCACGTGGATATAAATATTATTAACGTTTGATTAATAGAACACACAGCCGTTATATCAATGCCTCTGGCGTTCATCCACGAAGACTTAATTATCGATATACCAAAGCGCGCTTTCGCGAAAACGACGAGTTTACGTTTTACCAGCTTCGTTCGCGACGAAATATAATCTGACTCTGTCCGTTGTTTACTTCACTTCCAAGTTATAATATGCCTTAAACACACAGGCACTGTTTATGAGGAACATATAGATAAGGATATACGGACAAGAGTAAGTATCGTGGAAAAAGTCTCTCAAGCAAGATAACGCGTACGTTATGGATCTACAAAATGGCAATCTCCGAAAGTCCACTTTCTCACGGCATCCGCCACTTTAAATAACGCCTCGAAATATCGTTCATGAAATGTTACACGGAACATCGAAGATGCACGGGAAGTTTCGTCGATCGCGCGAAGTACGGGACGCTCTCTAGATATTTATACAATTGCGTGGTTTTCCAAACACAAAACATTTATCTTACTCTCCCTCCGTTCTACCACGAGATTCAAGTCGACTCTTTTCGCCGTTATTTCCTGCACAAAAGTTTTCGAGTTATACGAAGTACTGATATCAGTGTTTGAAGTACCAAAAGAGACAGAAAGAGGGAAGAAGAGAGAGGAAGCAAAAGAGAGAGAGAGAGAGAAAGGCAGGGAGAGGGAGGGAGAGAGAGAGAGAGAGAGAGGCAGGGAGAGGGAGAGAGAGAGAGAGAGAGAATTGGGGCGAGTGTATGTTTTTGTATGCACGAGCACCTGCGGCTGAAGTAATTTTCGAGCCTGCAAAATCCATCGAGTCTGCAACTTATTTCTTTGGAACTCCACGAATTTCGCTAGGACGTCTTGCTACGTTCATTTACTCAGTTCCCGAAATATGCGGGTATGACGCGCGAGCGCGCCGCCGAATTGGAACGAGATTTACCGGCATTTGCTACGGTTTAATCGCGGCGAAGGTTCAACGTACCAGCCGCGTCTCTTTTTCTTTTCTTTTCTTCTGTTCCTTCTCCATCTTACCCGGTATTGTTCGTAGTTTGTGTATTGCGTTCTTCCTGATTGCGGGCCACATTTGCTCAGATTGGAAATTGTCTTCCGGATACGCCGACGCGTCGATTCGCCCAAGAAGCTTGGAACTAAGCGAGAGACCAGTAGATATTTCAGCTCGCAACTACCGCGGTCATTTTTTAATAAGAGCAAATCGACTTTTCCACTCGTGGGCGCGGCGACGTTCAAATTAGCGCAAAACGCGCAAAATTCATGGAATAATCGCGAAATGAAATGCGAGTCAGGGTCGAAGCGCACTCGAAAATTATTACGGGCACGTCATATTTCCATTCGCCACTGAAGATCCACATGGAGTTAATTAAACGAAATGCGAGAAACATGGAACATACGGATTTGTACCTAATTTTCATAAATTAGCAAGTCAACGTGAAATGGCAATTATTCGTGTCATTTATTAGTTTCGTGGCGGAGCGCCTTGAACCATTTAACTCGCGCCAGTTCGCAATAACATCATGAGAAATCCAGGCTGTGAAGGAACTAATTTAGCTTTCTTCGGGAGCGCGCACTTCGATTCAAGTTTGTGCACTGAGGTGCCGTCGCGGTCGTGATCGTACGTGCCATAACGTATAATAATACGTGGCGTCAATGTCAGAAAGTTTTCTGACGTTATAACGCGTCGTCGAAGTGTTCCTTCCCTACGTCGCGCTCACTGATCCTTAATCAAGCTCGACTAAATTCTGTAGTCTGAATTCGCGAGCCCTCGAAACTCGCTTGAGAATGCAGATTTCTCTCTCTTTCTCTCTCTTTCTCTCTCTCTCTCTCTCGCGCGCGCGCGCGCGCTCTTTTTTTTCACGTTCTCTACGCGCCGACCTTTTCCAATATTATATCAATTCGGAGAATGGAACCGTAAATATTCTACCTACGGTTTCGAACATCCAACGTGGTCCTGGCGATGTGATGCGGTACGTGGAGATATTCTCCGCGAGCTTGGCGTCCCGCTTCCGTCAAATTTTCTCGACTAGTGCTCCGTAGACGTAGCAGACGATCGTCTCGCAGTAGCTGCAATGATAGGTTACACAGTATATCGGGGTATAAGCGGATTAAATTTTAATGGCCTACTCTTCGTCAAGTAGTCAATTTTTCCTACACGGTCACTTAATCAGTAAAATCAACTATTTCTTTAGAACTATTGTTATATATGATATAGAACTCTAGAACTATTGTAAAACAAACCGGAACTCTAAAAAAATAGTTAATTTAAATAGTTTGTTTGATTAGGTGCGCT